TCTGGCTGCTGCATGTGAGTGGTCTACAGGGGTGCACAGTTGGGAAGAGTAAGGTCAGGAGGGGACTGAAGCTGTCACCCAAGGGGGAGTGTGAACTAAGACGGTGGTGGTGGAAATAAGAGCAGTGAAAATGGATGGTAATAATAACTGAAGGAGGGCAATAAGAGCAATAAAAAGATAAATGGATGCCTTGAGAGGGCATGAGAGCAAGAAAAAGAGAAAAATTGGATTTCTCGCTGAAATTGGGAATCCATTGGTCTTAAGTAGGCTAGAGTTTACTGAGAGGAGAAGCAGGACCGGGTAATCAAATTAGACTCCTTTCTCAGAAGATTTTCCAGCCTGTGGTTCAAGTTGGGTTTCTTTTATGGAAAGACCATTGTTTTGTTCCTATAAAGGAGGTTAATAGAGTGTAACACGAACTTAATTATACCTATTTCCCTGACCACTTTCTTTGGTTTAATATTTACTCAGCTTCACATTTATCATGTCTCTCAGTAAAGGGTGAGGCCATTGAAAAAAATCCTGAATGCAAACCTTCAATAGTTTAAACCCTGCATTAAAAACAGGCCAGTTTTTCATAGTATATTTTCGGGAAAGAAAATAAAGTGTCTCCAAGCCTTCTTGGGTCTCTGTTTATTGCTTCCCTTCAGTTTTTGTGAAATTGATAGTATTAGTAACAAGAATGTAACAACTACAACTACCAGTTATTGGATACCTGCTAAGCACCAGGTTATTTATATCATATTAGATTTAATCCCTATTACAATACTACAGGTAGGTATTACTGTCCTCATGAAACAGATGAGGAAAAATTGGCTCAGGGAGGTAAAGTAATATGCCCAAGATCACACAACTGATAGATTAGTTTCCTAGGGCTGCTGTGAGAAATTACCACAACTGCTTGGCTTAAAACAATGGAAATTTATTCCATCACAGTTCTGGAGGCCAAAAGTCTGAAATCAAGGTGTTGGCAGGACCACACTTACTCTGAAATCTCTAGGAAAGGATCATTTGTGGCCCTCCCTAGCTTCTGGAGGCTGCAGGCGCTCCTTGGCTCATGGCAGCTTAATGCCAGTCTCTGCCTCCATCTTCACACGGTTTCCTCCTCTTCTCCTGGTGTCTGTCCTCTGGGTGTCTTTTCTAAAGACACTTGTTGTTGGATATAGGGCCCATCCAGATAGTCCAGAATGATCTCATCTTGAGACGTTTAAGTTAATTTTATCTGAAAACACCCCTCTTCCAGATAATGTCACATTCACAGATTCCAGGGGTTAAGACATGGACATATCTCTTGTAGGGGCACCATTCAACCCACTAGGGCTGGTTATTTGTAAGTGGCAGAGACTTCCCCTCTGCTGTGGAGGCTTGAACACACTAAATTGGCATCTAAAGAGTAGGTGTGCCTTTATAGCCTCGTACATTCTTACAGCCTGTTTTCAGTGACTATGACCGAAGAGCCAAATGACTTCTTTTTACCTAAAATAAAATTAACAGCATAATACAATAAAAGTTATAATTGTAGGTTTCACAGGGTGGAAGCCTTCAAAATGGTGGCAGGTATTTAAAGAACACTCTTGTGTTAAAAATGCCAGTCTTGCTAATTACAAAGGAGGGTAAATAATGTCAAAATACATCTTGGGAGTTTTGGTACGATAAAAAGTAAGCATTAATAACTAAACAGCAACTGACATCCAAATGGATTGATGATACAGCTTTTTTCTTTCCTTTTTATTTTCCCCTGGTGTTAATTAAAAGTTAGTTGTACCATTAGAAAGGCCAAATTTTTCATTCTTAACAGCTTCCCAACCTTTCTCCTCATTCTTGTTAAGTCTTAAGTCTAAAGAAAACCCACACAACTGGGTCTGTGCATCACAGAGTGAGGCAGAGAGCAAATGAGTCACTTTCTAAAGTGGCAGGACATCCAAGCAAACCAAAAGTTCTTAGTTGAGAGGAATTCCAGACAGCCAGCAGCATAAAACTAGCTGGATCAATTTGTCTGTAGTTTGAGTGGTAATCTTTAAGGCAGTTGATTAGTTGGCCATTTGTTGCTTGCTCTGCAGGGCTCCTCTCTCAGCAATGTGAGTGCGTCTGTCCTGAGTGATGGATGGAGCTGGAATCTTCAGGCAATGAAGAATCCTCCTCCTCCCCTCCGTTGCAAGAATGTTAGCATCTCCAGCTCCCATGAAATGTTTAAATGAGAAAGAAAGGGAGGACACTGAGCACAGCTAAGGCAAACCTGAACTCTTGACTTGAGTGACCTCCAGACTCAATGGTCTGAACTGGTTCCTGATGAAAAAAATACATATACATTCTCTATATGTGTGTGGGGGTCATTAGAAAAGCATGTTAGAGAAGAAGAGGATATTTGGAAAATGTAAAAAACCAGAAAGAAACATGGTTCCTTGACCATACTATTTGTTCAATTTTATAGTCTCCTTTTTAAAGCACAACTTTATAAGTATCTTTTTAAAAATGTTGCTGCATAATCCTGACACATCCTTTAAATTGCTCTCCATGATTCTACAGAGGATTTAGGCACAATTTTACTTATCTGAGCATAATATGTTGGTTATTTGGATTGTTTGCTCTTCTTTGCTCCTTTAAGTAATGCCAGAATAGACATCATTGTGCCTAAGCCTTAAAAAAAAGTCTATCTATCTATCTATCTACCTATCTATCTATCTATCTATCTATCCATCCCTCCATCTCCTATCTATTCATCCATCCATCTATCCATCCATCACCTACCTATTCATCCATCCAACCAGTCATCTCCTATCTACCTATCTATCTATCTATCTATCTATCTACCTGTCATCTATTTCCCTAGGGTAGATTCCCAGGTTAAAGGGGACAAATTGATCTTATAGGACCAGTTGGATAGATCTGGAGTCTCTGTCCCACCCTCACTTCCTCCCTTCTTCTCTTTCTCTCTTCCTTCTCTCCTTGTTTCCCTTCTTCCTTCCTTTTTCTCTCTTTACAAATTAGTAAAACAATAATCTCTCCCTAGTAATCCTACAGCTTTGGCAGTTGGGAACATCTAACAGGGGCTAAGATGTGGACATATCTTGCAAGGGCATGAATACAAAAACAGGAGAAGGATTTATTTTTCTGTATCAACATCCAAGGGCTGCCTCTGTCTCAGGCACGGTTACTCTGCTCTGTACTTTAGATGCATCGACACATTTGTTTCTCCTAAAGGCTCTCTGATAGACATTCTGTTATTACAGTAGTCTCCCCTTATCCTTGGTTTCAGTTACCTGTGGTGAACCCTGGTCCAAAAATATTAAATGGAAAACTCCAGAAATCAAAAATTCAGAAGTTTTAAATTGCATACCACTCTTAGTGTGATGAAATCTCATGCTATCCCACCAGGGATGTGAACCGTCCCTTTGTCCACACTGTACATGCCACCTGCCTGTTAGTCACTTAGCAGTAGTCTCGGTTATCAGATCACAGTGCCTGTGTTCAAGTAACCCTTATTTTACTTAATAATGGCCCCAGAGTGCAAGAGTAGTGATGCTGGCAATTGGGATATGCCAAAGAGAAGTTATTTTTGTTAATCTCTTATTGTGCCTAATTTTTAAATGAAACTTTATCATAGGTATGTACATATAAGAGAAAACATAGTACTATCCACAGTTTCAAGCATCCACTGGGAGTCTTGTAACTTATCCCCTGAAGATCAGGGGAAACTACTGTATACCCACTTTACAGGTGAGGAAACTGAGTCATGTGAAGGTTAAGTCAAGTTGCCTGCCTGACAGGCCAGGCCTTCATCCATTATACCACATATCTGTCCTGAGGCCTGGATGGAAAACAGACAGGAGAGGAGAGAGGTCCAGCATTCCTAAGGTGGGTATTGGGGGGGGGGTGCTCCTCCCTCCCAGGAGAAGAAAAATAAGCTTTCTGAGAAAGTTTGTGCAACTTTTTACAAAAACAGAGAACAACCCTTTACTCCCACCCTGGTGATAAACACAGATGGATAAATCCATTCCCCTGTTTATGTCTCTAGGTGGGGATGGTAATACTCGATTTGATTTCCTCTTTAAACAAACACTCAGGCAATTGGGAACCAGGTCCAGCTTATTGGTTCTCCAAACAAGCCAGGATCACTGCAGACAGTAAGGTCTCTGCTCATATTCTCTCTGCAGTTTCTGTCACACTTCTCCTCCAGAGTCCTCCTCTTTCTCTTTAGCTGCTCAGTTCCCACATGATTTAGGGTCTAATAATTTGGCTTCTTGTCTTCAGGCCTTGTCTGTTCTTGCTCACCCCACCAATCAGATTCATTGTTCAGCCAACAATGCCATGTGCCTGCTGTGTGCCAGAATGCACTTGGCCCCGGGGCTCAGGGGGAACAAGGCAGGCTTGGTCACCACCATGGAGAGCTCGTCTCTCTCTGGACTCCTGTGACTGATGGATGGAACAGTCTGCACCAGTGCTCAGGAGGTGTGCTCTCAGATCCTGTCTGTGCATGTTGGCAGCAGCGGGAGGTGGGAGGAGTATAGGATGTGATTCCTGCCTTACATGGAGCAGCATCTTATTTTGAGGGACTAGGACTTCAAACTTGGAAAATAACTTTGGAATAACACTAAAGTCAAGCCAGGGCCAGAGACACCAGCAGTTGAAGGGAGACTGTTATATAGAGAGGATTTGCTTTCATCTTCTCACTTCATCTTCACAATAGACCTCATGACCATTCTGCAGATGAGAAAACTGAGGTTCTGAGAACTGTGACAGAGCTATTATTCACATAAGCTCTGTCTGGCTCTAAAGTCCAAGGTCCTTCAATTACAGAATTCTTCGTTCTTCATTCACTTATTCATTTATTCTAAAGTGATGAGTTTTTTTAGGAATGAATATACTAACATGGGTCAGGACTGTACTAAGAGCTGAGGATGCAGAGATTAATAAAAAATGTTCCTGATATCATGAAACTCACATTCTAAGAGGGAAGACAGACAATAAACAGATGGATAAATAAATGCATAATTTCACAGAGAAAATAACGCAAGGAGCTCGAGAGCAAGGAGGCAGGGAGTGAGGACTCTTCTGATACAAGTGACACCATGGAGAGGCATCTGGAGGACAGAAGAAGGAAACACTGCTGATGGAGTGGCGTGTGCAAGGTACGCTCAGATCTCGACACTCATGGCTCAGTAAAATTATGGAAAAAACTAATGGGCAGCCATAGGGCTGACAACATTTTAATTTGACTATTAGAAATTACATGAATACTTCAAAAAAACCAAAACAACTAGTATATCCTATCACCATGAATTCACAAAAGACACCTCAACACCAAGAAAAGTGAATATATTTAACTTCATAAAAATTAACTTCACTGTACTTATTTTTCTCATTTTGTTTCAGATGGGTCAATGCTTGATCATGGACTGGCATTTAAAAGTGTTTAGTTCTACCCATAGTTGTTCTGTGCTCAGAGGAGTGGCTGGAACTGCTTCCTAGTACTTCAGTGATACTGGCAGTAGTAGTTATAGCTAATATTTATTGAATTCTTTTACTGTTCTAGGTGCTGTGTCAAAAGTCCTTCATTCATTGTTAATTGAATTCTCCCATCAGCCCTATAAGCCAGGGACCTGGGCGAGGTACTAGACCTTTTTACTGGTGGAGACAATGAGACTTCAAGAGGTTTACTAAATTCCCAAAGACACATGCCTAATAAATGGAAGAACAAGATTCAAGCCCAAATTTAAGCCAGAACCAATGCTATTAAACAAAGGAGGAATTTGCGCATTGGCTTCACTGAGTGAAATGAGAAGACTGAAAGACACGTTTGACATTATGTTGACCCTGTAGCTTTTGGTAGATTGGGGATAGGCCATATGTTTCCTTTTGCATTCTTCTCTAGTGGACACCTCTTGTGTAGCATTTCCAGTGTGCATTCCCCCTATTTGCAGTAACAGTACCCGTATTTTACTTTGGGGACTACCTCATCCCCCTGACTATAGTCTTGGTGGGGTTATCACTCATGGTGCCTCACTCTCCCCTGGCCCAAAGAGTGGACAGTGACACGGTGAGGCCAGTCAGAGTCTTGACATGGAATTTGACTCTTGAGCAGAGTAACACAAATGCTGAAAACAGACACAGTTGACACATCCCAATTCCAGAGCCCTCTGTGAAGAAGGGGCTGTTGTCAGTCCTTACTTCCTGGATTCATGAGCTTCTTTGATCCTTGCCTGCTCCTTTTGCTCCTTCTTAGTTTTTATTTTCTTACGTTCATCTTCAATCCTTCCGATAAATCTCTTTTTCTGCTTTGCTTAGCCAGTCTGTCCGTTGCTTGCAACCAGGTGGCAGAGCCTAGAGATTAGAAATCCAGGCTCTTAAATCAGAGGAACCTCTGTTCTTATCTCAATGCTGCTATTTACTAAGTAGTGTGGGGAACTGGAATTGGCCACCCCAAGATACGTTTCTTTGGCATGAGGATTATTTTGGGCTGGTTACTTTTAAAAACTGCAGACATGAGAGAAACTCTGAAAATTAGAAGTTATCCTATGTTAAGAGACATTTACATTTGTAAGGGAAATCTCTATCTGTAAAGGTATCTCCCTCTCTGTACCAGGAAGAAGGGGGGATGACCTTATCTCTAGAAATTCTTATCTATGCCGAAAGCACGGACTTAAATCTGCATAATAACCTTACTCTTTTTTACTGTGCTTTTCTGGTAATCTCCCATAACTTACTCCTCCCCAACCCCAACATCCTCCTTTGCCTTTAGCTGAGGTGGGTATTTAAGATGAGCACCTCCACCATTTTGGCGAGTTGCTCTGTTTTTCTGGGTCTCTCCCATGTATACATGTTATAAAGCATTGTTTGATTCCTCATATTCTGTCTCATGTGAATTTAATTTGTAGCCCAGCCAGAAGGACCTAGAGTGGGTAGAGGAAATGTCTTCTTCCCCTACAGTAGTATGTGACATTGGACAAGTTGCTTGATCTCTCTAAGTGTGTTTTCTTACCTGTGAAATGAGGATAATGTGGGAGTAGAAAAAATGAGCTGATGCATGTAATTTGGTTAGCAGAGTGCCTGGACTTAATCATGCAATTTGCTTAGGAAACTGCCTTTTCTTATCGACTTCTTAATAAATATTAGCTGCTCTGATTTGCCTTGACAAACCAAAGAGAAGCATGTTCTTCCCACCTTGAACCATGAGCAGATAATTTGTACAACACTAACTATAGATACATATCAGAAAAAAATCACAAGAATAGAATTTTACAAAATCAGAGCCAAGGATAAACTGAAAAGGTAGAAAAGCAGAAGAATATGGAGGATTTACTGGACTAGAGATTTTGCGGATTTCAGAGCATTAAGAACTCACAAAATCATACGATTCAGTATTTTGATTTCAAGTATTTAACAGATTCTGATTCCCACTTTACTGTTGGGATAACTACTGACCTATCATTCAATGAATATTTATTGAGTACTTACTGTGAGTCGGGCATTCTGCCAGGTTTTGGGGATAAAGTGGAGAAAGATACAGCCAGGAGTGGGATCCGGGCTGCATCTAGAAAGGAGGCATGGATGCTATAAACATATCTGAATAATGGCATGAATACTGGATGGGCAGTCAGGAAACCTGATCTCCAATTTTGGATCTGCCCCTACTGGCCTGTGTTACCTAGGGTAAAACTAGCCACAGAAACAAGCAAAATCCCCAACTTTTCAGTGGTTTAACACAAAGTTGCTTCCTTGCTCACAGAACAGTATGGATATTCCTGGTTAAGGCAGGGTTTTTTCCACCTTGGGGATTCAGTGATGCAGACTTTTTCCATCTCGTGGAATCACCATCCTCAAGGGCCTCAGGATCCTCTGTCTCCAGTCAGGAAGTAGGGGAAGGGAGATTGGAGAAAGCACAGCTGCTTCTTAACCTAAAATGGTTAACGTAGCTGAAATGCCTGGAGGTGACATTCACGGCTGGCCCTCCATGTCCATTGTCTTTTGATGTTATTTAATGGCCTCACCTGGATGCAGAGGCACTGAGAAATGCATAACCCATTTCCAGCCAGGCTCCATATTATGAAGGGGAGACCATTGCTGAAGATCCAGCTGTCTCTGCTCCTCAGAAGGCAGAGCTCTCTGGGCTTCAGTTCTCTCATGCTAAAATGATGGCTTTAACCTCTAGAGGACACATTCTATGGTTCTAAAAGTGTCTGAAAATTAAGAGATGGGAGGTCTTTATTAGACTCACCAAATTTACGGTTCCATTATCCGTCAGCTTAGACACACACACACACAGTTGAAAACAGAGGGAGTATTGAATCATCATATTATATTACCTTGGTCATTCTTCGTAGCCTTTATCTAGAAAATCTCTACATACCTTAATTCAATATTACACACACCAGACCTCGAAAGGTAAATATATTGATATATTTGTGTGTGTTGGAGGATATGTAAAGGTTTTTATATCTAGGGAAACTCTGGTCTTATCAATCTTGAGAGACAAAAAATTCATATATGTTGGCTATCATTAAAACTATAAGCTTTAATTCTGAATTATTTTTTCCCCTTTCTTCCTCTACTTCTTTTCATTCTCTTTTTGCTTCTCTTGTTTCTCCTTTTCTTCCCCTTCAGTAGCTGAAGAGAGACCTAAGTCAACTGACTCAATGAAGATGAGTTCATACAACGTAAATCAGGAGAAGATGTGGATTTTAAGCGTGGGTCTTTGAGTGTTCAAATTGGTCTGGGCTTCATATAATGTCAAATATCTAGCAAGGAAATTAAATTTTACTTTCAAAATCTTACTTCCAACATTTCCCTACATTTGTCCCTTTGTGTACTGGAACTGAACATTTTGATTTTTGCCAGTGTTTTCAATGCTCTGTGGACTTGACCTCTGTATCCTGCCAATATTTTCTTTTCTTCTTCTTTTTTTTAAAGTTCTTTGACTTTATTGTTATATATCAATTTGGTCTTTTTTTTTAAATTATTATTATTATTTTCAAAGATTTTATTTTTTTTCCTTTTTCTTCCCAAAGCCCCCCAGTACATAGTTGTATATTCTTCGTTGTGGGTCCTTCTAGTTGTGGCGTGTGGGACGCTACCTCAGCATGGTTTGATGAGCAGTGCCATGTCCGCGCCCAGGATTCGAACCAACCAAACACTGGCCCGCCTGCAGCGGAACGCGCAAACCCAACCACTCGGCCACGGGACCAGCCCCTCCTGCCAATGTTTTCAATCACAGTTTGTATAAATGTTGCATTGTCCCGTGTGCTACTCCCAATCAAACCTGAACACAAAATTGTGATTGCGAGTAGTCATTTTCTCCTATGGCAGCTGGGTCACTTAATCATTGACCCGAAGGTTGGAGATAAAGCTGACAATACTATCTGAATCTCTCTCTGTCTCTCTGTTATAATTGTTTTAAGTAATAATGCATCACGGCTTGGTAAAAATCTGCAAACCAATTTCCTCTTCCCTCTCATGGCCATGCCTACTAGGTATGAGACTCTATAGACATGTGGCAATTAAACAGCAATATGTCAGTTCTCTTTCCGGTAGTGGAGACAGATACGCAAAATGTGCAGAGAACTTAGCCTCCAAGAACCCGTTGCTTGGAAGTCAGAAAGCCAGGATTTCACAGTGAGACAGAAATGATGATGAGGAGGTGACCATTGACAAGCAAAGGGACTATGAGTGCAAGTCCGTGAAGTGGGACTCTGTTGGAATCACAGAATATAAATGTCTAATCTTGGGAGGGCTTCTGGGTGCACTTCATCACATTGCTCTTATTTAAGAGATGAGGTGACTAAGGTCTGTCAAGGTCACCAGCTAGACACTAGAATTCAGGTCTCCTGGTCTCCACAGCAGTGCACACTCTATTATTCCAGAATCAACTCATGACATTGGAGGTCATAGCTTCTTCCAAACACTAGCTTTTATTTGCTAGTTCTTTATCTTCTTTTTAACAAACCATGGGTGTCGGCTTTGGGCTAAAATTATTTATATTCCTGCTCAGATCTTGGTTTCCTCCCTGGAATAGACTCGTGTTCACTCCTTTTTTACTGAATACCAGTGGGCCTTGTTTTGTAGGCCTGGAGCAGGAGATGGGGTTCTATCATGCAGGTAACAGCGCTGGCTCTGTTGCTTAGTAGATATTTGGTCATGAGAGAATCATTTAATTTTTTTTTAAGTTTCTCCTCCCTTGAAAATGGGGCTAATGAGAATATTTAGCGTTGTTGTAATAATAAAATAAGTTACATTGGGAAAGAGCTTAGAACAAAAACTTATAAGTATGAATTAATATAAGGTCCTTGTTTGAGGAGGTTATAATCTAATAGGGGAAACTGGTATTAAAGATATTTTAAAAACTAAGTGACAAGTGTTGGGTTAGAGGGAGACCCAGGGTTTTCACATACCATACAGGATGAACACTTTACCCAGGCTGGAGGACATGGGGACCCCAGGAGTCCAGGAGGATATTTCATCTGAACCAAGTCCGGGGGAGGACATTCTGGAGAGGGAAGACATGAAGGCAAGAAGAGCATGTCATCTTCTGGGTGCAAGTAATTCCACGTGCTCCTTTAGAAGCAGAGTGACGGGAGCAGAAAGGGGCAGGAGTTGGATGGACCAGGCAACACACATGAAGGTCAGAGCACGTGGAGCCTTGTGGGTCATACTAAGGAGTTCAAACTTGGTCTTTAAGCCAAGAGAGTCAAATTGTTGGCAAAATCATTCAAACCAACTTGTTTGTGATGGGGAGCAGGGGAAAGAGAGTCAAGAGCCACTGAATGCTGGCTGTGCCCTATGTACTTTATCTAATTTTTCTAACTTAATCTTCACAACAGCCCTACATAGGAAGCGTTATTACACCTGAATAAACTGAGGCTCAGAAAGATCAGCTTCCAGGAGGTTACATAATTGGTGGTAGAGCTGTGATTTGTATTATTTCATTGGACTGTGGAATTTTCTTCTGTTCTGCATAATACATAAATTCCAAAAAAAAAAAAAAACCCAAATAAAAGTTGAATGAATAGAACTGCAAAAACCCAAAACTTTGCACATGACACGGAAGAGTTATGTTCCACAAATCCAAAAGTGTTACTAACATTTTTAATCATGCAATGGTTATTTAAAGCATTAACAATTGGTTTGAACATTAAATGCAAATAGTAGAACTCATGTCTTATATAATTTCTTGTCTCAAAAACCTAATTTTTTCAGCTTATTTAAAATGACATTTGGTAAGTAGAAGAAATTTATTTTAAATACGGGAGAATGGCTGACTGGGGGTGATTTTGCAAGATTCTGAGTAGGGAACTCAGCATCAGACTGCAAGTGGTGACTTTAATAGGATTTTACAAGATTTCTTGAAACCTATGTTAGGTGAGATTTGAGTACAGGACTATTTCTCCTCTTGACAAGAGAGTACAAAGCAAGCTCAATTCCTGAGAATTGCTTTCCAGTTTGTGAACTTCCCTGCCTGTGGAACCTCTGGAATGGCTTTTGGTACCAATTTTCATAATTTCCATACTTTTTAAAGATATTTCCATATCTTTCAATAAGCCTCATCTTTCAGTACAGTCCTGGATGATCTATTTCCAGAATATGTTCTTTAATTTGGTACTTGTTCTTCAAAATTGAACACCCAGATGACCAGATTCAGTCCATCGAGCGTTCCAATATAACCACCAATCCCCTGCTTTCAGCATTCCAACTGGTTTTTATCTTTGTCTCAATTGTTTAACTGCTAGAGTCAGCACTTCCATTTTTCCATTTCCCACTCATCTTTATAAAACATTAGAGCAAATTGCAATAAAACTTTGAAATAATTGCACAAACATGGCTGCAAAAGCTGGTGATGCTGCAGAATATGTCTGAATTCTGATTGTGAGGTTGGTTGAAGGGTGTCAGAGTGAAAAGCAAATGCCTGGTAATCTAGAACTGCTTTAATGAATTTATTCAACAAATATACTGTCTGAGGGTGACTTCCCTAGAAGCAGATTCTAACACAAGGATTTGTATGAAAGTGATTTATTAGGAAGCTTTCCTGCAAAAATATGCAGGGGATTGGGGAAGTGGGACAGGGAAGGAAGGAAGTCAATTAAGGGTACAACACACATACCACAAACACTGGGAAGAAAATAAGCAAGGAAGGTGCCATGGAAAGGAACTCTGCTCACTCCTGCAGGTGAGCACTGCAGACAGTGTAGACCACACCTCAGAGCTGTCCTGATTAGGAGACAAGAGCTGGATAATGGAGCTGGAGTATTTATACTCATCACCACACTCCTTGGTCATTGGCTAAAGCTATGCAAATTCCAGATTTTCCGCTCTCTGTTCTCTGGTACAGTCAATGCCAGCTGGGCTCCAGCAGCCTGGGGACAGCCCTCTGAAAAAAGAGGCAAGTGCTGGATATTGGGAGCAAAGCGAGAGCAGTCTGGGCAGAGGTATGCACAACAATGCTAAAGGAATCCAAGGGAAAGTAGACCAGACACTCTGCCAGGCACTGTCCTAGGATGCAATGGAAGAGAAGACAAACATTGCTTCCTCCCACTCATTTGGATAGGAGGAAAATAGGCAATAACAAAGTAATCACAGATGGTCGTACAGGCAATGAAAGAAATGGGTAAGGGGCTGATGTAGAAAATAAGAAATCAATGTAAATGGTCAGTAAAGGATTCTCTCTGGAGGCAACTGTTAAGCTGTGGCCTGAGCGATGAAAAGGAGTAAACCATTTGCCAAGGGGGAAATTTTCCGTGCATAGGGCACACATATGCAAGGTCCTTGAGGTGGGAAAAACAGTGGTGTGTTCTACGAACTGAGAGAATATCAGAGCAGCTGGAGCCTGGAGCCTGGAGGGTGAAGGAATGTCTCAGGTATCTGTTGCTGACCAAAACCCAGAGGCTTAAAATACAAGTCATGCAGCTGTAGTCATTCTGACGGCTGGATTATATCTGAATGGTCAAGGATGACCTTTCTCTGGCTGCTGCTACAGGTTCTTGGATGGGCCACGTCTCTCATGGGATAATTTGGGTTTCTCCATGTGGTGGCAGTATCTGAGAGCGTGAGAGCAGAAGCTGCAAGGCCCCTTGAGGCCCTGCTCCAGAAGGCATGCAGTGTCACTTCCACCAAATTCTACTGGTCAAAGCGAGTCACAAGACCAGCCCAGATTCAAGAGATCAGAAAAACGACTTCACTTCTTGATGGAAGACATTGCAAAGTATTTGTGGCCATTTAAAGAAAATCTATTACAGGAAGAGGCTATGACTTACGATGTGCCGGGGTCAGATTAAGCAGGTCACTGTGAGCCGTGGTAAAGTGTTTGGATTGTTGAGATCTCTGTCCACTAACAAGTATCCATCATCATCCTTGATCAAAGTCTGAACCAATATAGAAATAAGACAAAGGAATAAGATGCATGGACATCAGCTTCTTCCTTTATCTCTTAAGATGTGGTTTATATCTGTGGACAGAGTTTCTACAGAGAACCACAGAATTACCCACCCAATCACTGACCAGGCTCTTCAATGACCAGATGCATGGTCTTGAGCAAATTGCTTAACTTCCTTGCGTTATTGAGAGTAAAATTAAATAATGCTTGCTAAGCATTTAGTCCAGTCCATGGCAGGGGATAAATGTTCAATAAAGTTTGCAATTGTTAATAATGACAAGTAGCTTTGGGGACTGACTTGCATAGAGTTCATGGAGGGTGGCATACCTATCCCTCCTTTTATCACAACCTTTTCCTTCCCTTTCCTCCAACCTTTTTGGCATTTGCCCTCATAAATGCCTTCAGCATAAGAAAGAAGGCCTACAACAGAGAAGAAATTTACAGATCTTGACAAGTACACCCTCAGGGTTTATTATCTTAGTGAAGGTGCAGGTGAATTTTAACAAACAAATCTCTCTAACAACAAATCTCTTTGTTTTATTCCCTTATGAAGACCAAAACTATGGA